ATGTTTTTGTTCTGAAGCGCCTCAACGTGGCCTGAGCTGCTGCTCGGCTTCATCTACGCCGCCTGATGAGACCCGTTTCCTTTCAGAGAAGTTTTCTCTAAATCACAGAAAGAGCCAACGAGAACCCCCAAACAAACAGGAAGTGATCTGTGTCGTACACCAGACGTTTCAAACCTTCAGTGAGGCGTCCTGGAGGGCCACTCTCCTACATATTAAAGTCATTTCTGCAGAACTTGAAGACTTGCTGAAGGGTAGAGAAACACAAATATTGCAGAATGGTGTCCCTCACGGACCATGACTCAGCCCCCCCATAGTTTATATTGACATATTGGACCACACGCTGACACAACTACAGCTGCAGTTGAACTTGTTTGCTTCAAGTATTGTTACAAACATATTGCAGGATGGTGTCCCTCACGGACCACAGCTCGGCCCCCCCCCCCCGGTTTATATCGTCATATTGGACCACACGCTGCCACGACTACATCTGCAGTTGAACTTGTTTGCTTCAAGTATTTTTAATGTTTGAAACAATTCATACATCTCAAAGATCTGGTTCTAAACAAATATATTTGGTTTATTTTGATTTTATGGTTAAAACAAAACGTTTTTCTCTACGTCCATCTTGATCTGAGCTCTTTGTTATTTTACTGGAGGAAGAAAACTTTTGTTTGTAAAGATCAACAATTATTTTAAATATTAGCACAACGAAAATGAATTAAGATAGACAGATTTTAAATATTAAATATTTTAAATATAGCAGACTTTTATTTTAAAGGTGCATGTTGTGCCGTCACCGATCGACTCCTGATGTTTCCAGTTTTACACAAACAGTCGACTGAAGATCTGAGTCGATCGGCTCGTCCGGTTCACAGAGAAGCAGCTCAACATGAAAGACTTCCTTTATCGGTTTGTGGCTGCGGAGCGTTAATATTCTGATCGTGGATCTGGATCAGATGTGGGGGGCGTTTGCTCAAATGCAGCTCATTTAAATATTCGAGGAAATGTAAGCGACGTGAAAAAGTGTTTATAAACTTTAAGCTGGAATCAAACGAGTCGAAAAACCTGAGAGAGTTTAAAAAA